TTCTACAAACGTTGAATAAAGCGAAAGATAAAACTTTTGAAAAGATTTTTATCTTGTTACGACGAAGAAGTATAACTTCTAACGCGTGTACATAAGGATACACACTATGTTTGTTACCAGAATGAACCAATTTTGATGAATCTTTTTTCATTTGAATTGATGATAGAATCAAAGCGTAGCGTTAATGTGGATTTGTGTTTACGAAAAGTAAGATTTACAATATTAAGTGGACTAATTTTATATATTCTAATTATAAATTATTATTTACGTAACAAATATGTAAAGGCTATGAAAGTAACACAATAAAAATAATATTTTTTTAAGAAACATTGCCCTTACTTTAGGATAACATTAACCTGTGTTGTAAGGACGTTTTACAAAAATAAATTTCACGCGGACAAACACCCAGATTCGGAACAATTATCTGTGGGTCACACAAATAGTTGTCCCGTGTAGGAATCGAACCCACGACCCTCGACGCCGAAGCCAATACCTTGGCAACTACGCCACGAAGTCATCGAAATATGAATGATTACTTATTTATAAATAATCTTTTTTTTTATTTTAAATCGGATGATCTGTACCGATGTTATCCTCCAATCACAATTAGGATATAGGTTACAAAGTATTGTTTTTACGAGAATAAATTCGTCAGTTTTAGTACAGGCATACGTGCAATTATTTTCTTTGGGTTATAATTTACAATTACCGAAAATAAATTTGCTATCTTCTGATATACGGTCACTAATGTATATCTTCGCCGTATCACTAAACGTCCCTACATAACCGATAACACCCAAAGGAATAGAACGGAGTTCGGTTTCATATCGCATAAGAATAAAAACTTAATTAAGCTTGCTGTGGACCATTAAATTATTATATTTAGTTCTTACTAAAGTAAATGCAGAATTAAAAAAGAAAATACACTGATACGTTATCATTTTAAATAAAAGGAAAATAAATACTGCCCCAGCACTCGATTTCTCAAAAATATAAAACTGCCTGGCCTTAGATCATATGGAATTAATAATATTATTGCCAGTGTTGATGGGTCTTGGAACAACGTACACCCTTTTCGAACCCACGATGCTAAATGCCACTCGGACATCAATTTAATAATTATTCTAAAAGCAAAGTTTTTCTTCATGAAAAAGAGAAATATTTTACTGTCATTCATTCTTTGGTTGGACATTCATTAACCTTTAAAGTTAGTTAGATATTGAGAAAATATTATTAAATTATTTATTGGTCATTAATGTCTGCAAATTTTTAAAGACTACAATACTTAAGTGAAAATTACTTTAAAAAAATTGTGATGATTTTAGTTACACGTCGTTAAAGCGACTATTTTTTTTGACCAATCAAGTTTTAATTTTACCATCAAAGTTTATAAACAAAAACGAAGCAATTCTAATAATAAAACCTGAAATACTTCTTATAGCTAATTTTCATCAAAAATAGAATCAAATTGATTTCTTAAAAAATCATACATATCAAGGCTATCCCAAAATAAATTTTTATGTTGAACAACTTACCTATAGCAGGAAATGGGCGAACATCAAAAATTAAACAATTTTAAAATATTATGAAAGTAAAATTTTTACAATGCGCGCGCACGCTAACAGCCAAAAAGCGACATGATGAAGTTCAAAACACTCATTTCCAAAACATATGTATTTTCTATGTATTTATTGCAAAGCCTATCTATTAACGGGTTTAAGAAATTTATTAAAGAAAAACTTTTTAAAAAGGGTTATTATAATGTAAATGAATACATTAACGATAATAACCCCTGGGAATGAGATGATCGCTCTTAAGCTGTATCTAAAAAAAAATATGTACTGTATAACAATGTATTTGTTGAAAAAAAAATAACAAAAAAGAGGATACCTAAGGAGTTTCTTTCGCCTGTTTCTTCTCCGTTAGAGGAACCTCATTACGAAACGGTGGTAGATTTAAAAAAAATGACTATCGATAAATGAAATGTACATTTCTTATTTCGATGAATAAATGATTTGAATTTGAATTTGAATTATGACATTCATCGACTTCACTATTATTATTGCCATGGCAACCAATAAAAACTTTTTGATATTTACCTATCTCTCAATCGTTATCAATTGCATATATCTTTTTCACAAACAAAGATTATTGGCACAGAGGATATTTTAGATATCTTTCTTTTGTAACACTAAAAAAGTAATATACACATACTTTTTTTGTAACTATTATAATTATTCATTCGCGTGAGGAATCCACGCACATCCTGGCCAATAGAGCTATAGGAAAAATAATTAATAACTTCAAATTTCCATTTCAATGCATTATAGAATAAGCCTGTTTAAAAATACCAGTGGTCAACCCGTAGTTGAAATTCGTCAATCCTTACTAATATTATAAACCCGAAAGTTTGTATGTATGAATGGATGTTTGTTACTCTTTCACGCAAATACTACTGAATGAATTTTAATGAAACTTTACAATAATATTAGCTTATACATCAGAATAAAACGTAGACTATAATTTATATTCATATTTTTATGTATATGTGTTTCTGTCTGAATGTTACGCCTTCAGCCTATTCTACGCAGACGTTATCGCGGGCAGCAGCTAATATTACTATAAGGCGTGTCTTTTTCCGCAAAAAAGGAGCCCCTTCACCTTGGCTCCTACTTTCCAGAATGTGTCCTTGGAGTATACCGTCCGCTTCAGTAGTTGGGAGTCGAAATATCCTCAAACCTCAACTTTGGGCGGTTCAATGAATTTAAAGCTAGGGCAGCTGCAAGGAAACAAGGTGCTGAGGTCCTTGCAAAGGTGCGACGGTACTATAAAAATACTTAACCTACAGAACTACAGAGAAATTATTTTTTTTTTTACTTATTAGGTTTTTTTTATTTGGGAGGTTACTTAATTTTTTTAATTATAATAGATAACTACTTAAAACACACGTTTAGAGTTTCAAAGTGAACTCATTTCTTTCTAGGACTTATTTTCTTTAATTTAATAATTAATTTGTAAATACGTCAATATTGTTAACTTTTCTTACAAATTTTGTTTGAATATATGTGATTAGTGGTTACATTAGTTTTTTTTTTGTTAGATAGTAATAGCGTTTGAAGCCGTGAAAGTAACCATGGCCGCTGCATGTTGCATGTATTACATGTAAACGAAATTCATCGAACAAACATCTTGTTTTAAAAATTGCTTAATAAATACGTCAGATTTATGTATCAACAATAATCTAAGCTAAGCAATCTAACAATAAGCTGCTTGTCTCCGCAGCATGAAAAACGGGAAAGCGGTGGGACCTGACGTCATACCGACCTAAGCGTGGAAATCTAGTCGAAACCCAATAGACTGACCTCTGAGGGTGTTGAACATCGGGTATAGTGGAGGAGTTTGAGTAGGAAGGCAGACCCTGGCAATAGACGGGATTAATGATAGGTAGATTTTTTTAATTTTTCATGTGAAAAGTTGCCAAACGAGCAGACGGTTCAACACTTTCAACACTCTTAACACCAGTGTTAGCGCGCATACTACACACTAACGCACGCACACACGGAGGACTCGGTGGCCCGCTTTCGGGCGTCTCCGCATCTAACTTCGGGTCGAGCACTCACCGACCAGACGGCATTACAGCGACACGTGTAAAATTATCTTGCATTAAATTTTATACATTTTAAAGTTGAAGCTCATTTACTTTCCAACAACGGACATCGCCAAGAACCTTCCTCCCCATTTGGACCTACGAGCCGGTTGAAGATCAAGTCTGCCAGCGCCCGTTTGTAGGAAGATTATTCTACGGCGAGCATCATTGTTCAAGTTTGGAAATTCTAGCTTTGGTGAAGTCATCGAACATAAAACGAAGTGCATTACGTTTTATGAAAAAACAAATATCGTCGTGGGCATTATAAACGACGTTAAATACGATCGTCGTCGTTGACATTATAAACGACGAGGGTAGATATTAATCACATAGAGGACAAAGGGACACCTACCAATAATTGTGAGTTCGTTCCATGGCATATCTTTTCCTAGTTCCCATTTCATTACAACCCTTATATAATTCATTTCTATCCAAATTAATTTCCATTATTTCTCGATATTTCCATTATTTCTTAGTTCATATTTTCCGCTAAT